CCAGGGTAGCGACGGAAGGTCGCACGATTTGTGTGTATATCAGGGATGTCTGCATTCCCCCCTTCTCCAGCATTACGCCTGCCGCTCTCGGTCCGCGGGGGCGGTCGAATGCTGCATCGGCGGCGGGATGCTCCTCGCGGGTGGAAGGCATGGCTCCACCGCTTAGCTCGCCAGCAGGGACGGCCTCACTTAGCGCGGACACGCCCAGGGGGGGGGGGGGTCGGCGGTGGGTTGGCGTGAGCCTGGATGGAGCGCGCCGGAGCTGCGGGCAGCGACTTGCCCGTTCCTGTTGCCTATGTCCTCGTGGGCGCCCCCTGAGGGTATCAGCTCCCTGAGCGCGCCGCCCGAGTCAACCTGGCCCCTGGGAAGACCGCGGCGGATGTTCATCTGTTCATCGTCAGTTGACCTAAGCGAGACTGGATCCGCGGGAAGGTTTTGCGCCGAAACGGGGCCCTCTCCCCCCGTAGCCCTGGTACCGCCTAGGGCCGCTTCACTCTGTCCGACAGCGCCTGGAGAGAAGGAAATTGGACGTCCTGCAGTGGGCATGGGAGCGGTGGGGGTGAGAGAGGCGGCTGGGTTAGACAGGAGGGCTTCGCGCCCACGGTCATCGCGTCCAGGGGGGCGACGGAAGGTCGCAGCGTCGGGTTGCCTTCTGCCAACGTCGTCACGACCATCCCCCACGGGGGTCAGCTCCCTGGTGCATTCTTCCCCTGCACACCGTTCCCTGGGCTGAACGTCGCGGGCGTTCCTCTGCCCGTCCCAGTCCGTTCCAGGGTAGCGACGGAAGGTCGCACGTTCTGTGTGAATTGTGGGGATGGCCGCGCTACCCCCTCCTTCAATGCTGCGCCTGTCGCTGTCAGGCTCCTGAGGGTGGCCTGGAGTGGCGTCAGCATCGATGTGCGCGCCGTAACCTGAGGACATGTCTTCCATGCTCGAACCGCTGCGGAGAGCAGCCCCGCTCGGGGCGGCCGCGTCCAGAGAGGGGGGCAAGGCGGAGTGAGGGCAAAAGCCCATAATATTCGCGACGGGACCGAGGCGACGTGACTGCCCGCCCCCCCCCACTTCGCCTTCATGGGCGCCTGCTGGGGGTGTCGGGCCCATGCAGTCCCCATCCACGCCATCGCGGTCCCTGCGTCGGGAGCCGAGGGCAACTCCCAGCTCGTCGCGGAACTGCCCGAGAGGAGGGGGGCTCGTGTGAGAATAAACTGCTTCAGGAGTGGGCCCGTCGGCCCCCGTGAACCTAGCATCGCCATGGGCGGTCCCGCCACGCCCAGCGCTGCCTGGAGAAAAGGAGATTGGGCGCCCAGCCGCGGGCAGAGGAAGAGTGGGGGTAAGGGAAGGGTAGCTGGGCGGGAGGGCCTCATGCCTGACATTATTAACTCCAGGGTGGCGACGGAAGGTCGCGCTGTCAGTTTGAAACGGAGGGCTGAACGCATCAACTCCGTCTACCGCTGCGCGTCCGCCGATCTCAAGTCCAGGGTAGCGACGGAAGGTCGCACGTTCGGTGTGTATCACAGTGTTGAGGAGATCAGCCCCTCCCTCCGATTGGCTGGGGACCATCTGTCCTCGTGTGCACGAAGCATCGGCCGAAGCGCTCCCATTCCAGGGAACAGGGGGCGACGGTTGCCCCGGCGGGATGGTGTCCTGAGATCCAGGGCGAGTGCATCCTGAGTCATTTGGCCCAGTGGTCCCGAGGCCGACATCGGATGATGCGGCTCTGTCCCCCGCAGGGATGACAGGATTGTCGCCGATCGATCGCAAGCTATCAGGCCGACCATCCACGAGGCAGCTCCCCTGATCCGATCTGAGCCTCGGGCCGCTGAGCCCGTCTGCGCGGCGGGAAGGCTGCAGCAATGGCTGGCGCGCCCAGGGGCAGGTGGGTGTCCAGGGCCGCGGGCCCCCGGCGCAGCGTCTGGGCGCCCCCTTGAGCGGCGGGAGACTGCCCCGGAGAGGGCAGGCCCACCAGACGGCCTTGACCCAGAGGCTACGGAAGCTGGTGGGGATACGCGAAACATCAATATCTGATCCTCGTCCGAATGTGATACTTTTTCCGTGTGTGCATCAGACGCCCATGCCAGCTCCGCAATAAAACGCCAGGACCGGCGGAAGCCTTTGCAACTCATCTTCTCCAAGCTGCCTGCCCACTCGCGTCCCGCGGTCGAACACGTCAGCAGCTTTAGCCAGGTGAAAGGCGGCCGCTTTTCCTGTCATCGTGCAAGTGCAGTTCCGTTGGGTTCTGAATAGGCCAGATTGCTGCACATCGCGGGTCACGTCCTTGCCCTGTTTTTCGAGATCGATCTCTTCGGCCAAACACGCGCTAGCCGACATATGGGCCCAGTGCGTCGACAGTCCTTGCTGGTTGCGGTTCGTGCTGGTCGCTGTGGTTTCCAAGCCAGGCCCTTGCATCGTATCTTCTCCAGGCTGCCTGCCCAACCCCGGGAGGCTGATGAGCTTTAGTCAAGGGGACGTTCGGACAAATTGTCGTAGGTCTGGCCACATGTATGTTGCAGTCCGACCATCAGTTACTGTTCATCCCCATCGTACTGCCAGTGTACTAGGTCAGGCAATTCCTTGGCAGCTTCTGCGATGTCCCCGAATTTCGAATGCAGCGTCTTCATGGGTACGTTTGGTCATCGTGTTGTAGCCTTGCTATTGTATACAGGTCGTCCCAAAATACGGGTTACCTCGTGAGCAACTTCGGTCAGGCGTTGCCTAGGAAACATCTGCGGTGCATACCCCGAGTCACACACGCAGCATCTTCCTGCGCAGGTCTGGTCAAAAACGGTTCGAGACGTTGCTTGTGGACGAAGGTCGTGCGCAGGTCTGGTCAGGTTTTACGTTGGCAGCTCATGCGGTGCACATCCCGAGTCCCCCATTCAGCGCCTTCTTGCGTAGGTCTCGTCAGATTGCTTTTGCACTCCGTATTAACGGTGCAAGGAGCAATGCGAGCATCCAGCTGTGGACCCTCTTTTCCCCGCAACCGTTCAGTGGGCGATCCAAGCAGGGTTGAATCTCTTTGGCATGGGGCGCTCACGGTCTTTGCGTACTTGTTCCTCGCTTAACTCTGTCACGAGCTTGCCTCGGCGCCAGTTTTAGCAGCGGTTCTGATTCGCCTGACCTTGGGCTGCGAGGCGTTCCTCCTCGCAGCAGTGCTCTCTGAGCAGCCCATGAACGTCTTGTCGCTTTGCCGCACACCTCGCTGGGGCTATCCTCTGCTTGAGTGAGGCCTAGGCAAACGGATTTGAGGTTACGTGCAGATGCAGGAAAAAAAACACAGACACACACACACACACAAACGCACACAGACACACACACACACAGACGCACACACACACACACACACACGCACACACGCACGCACGCACGCACGCACGCACGCACGCACGCACATCTCACACGCACATTTGCGGCGCCGAACCCTCTTTGTCTCTCCGTTTGCCAGGGATTTGTTGTTGTACCTTCCACGTACTGTCAATGCACTTTTTCGTTTGTGAACGATTGCCAATCCATTGCATTTTTGGCAAGACTTGTGTAATCGGGTATGTGCGGCTGACGGCATGGGGGGACTAAACATATCCTCGGGAAACGGCCAGTTTCAACAAGCGGCATTCACTTTCATTTCTGTGGTCAATGGTGTAAGCGACCTCAACAGGCGGCAACAAGTGCTTAAGTGCTTGCGTGTGTCACATGACATTGTGATTGGTCCCATTCCCATTCCCATGCCCTGGGCACGCCCGCGATCGCCGGGGGATATCAAAAACTGATTCCATCTGGGTGGGGTCATTGGCCGTCGATGTCAACAAAATTCTCGTCATCCTCCTCCTCGTCCTCCTCCTCGTCGGCGGGGGGGGGAGGAGGAAGACGAGCGGCCATCCCTCGCACGGTCGCCGAATGTGGCGCTGATGAACGTCAGCTGCGCGCCGGGGCGGATTCCCTGGGACCTCGGCAGCGGGCGGCCAGGGAGCCGAAGAGCCGAAGAGCCGGCCTGACGAGCGGCGCTTGGGCAAAGCGGCGACCGAGGAAACGATGGACGAACAAAGGCTTTCGGGCTGTCTCGGGCCTTTCGGGGCTTGGGGGGCCACCTTCGTCGGCACGGCTGGATCCGCCCATCAGTGCTGACCAAGACCTGCCCCTTGACAGGTCCAGGGGTCGACTTTGAGGCCCTGGGGCCTAGACCTCCATGGTGATTCGGAAAGAATGGAGCCATAGTTTCTCCCGAAAATTCAGCGCCTGGGGGCCGTTTCGGGGCCTAAAGGCCGTTACAAAAGAACTCTCAATGAAACGCAAAATCAAGGTAAGAAGGTTGACAGCTCCAGGGGCCAGCAACATCGATAGCAACGGCTGAAATATTTAGGATTGTACTTACGCCCTGTCGACGGGCTGCCCTGACGTCATCGTACATGCGAAGGCTATGACCCATGCCTTCGCCTGAATCGGAGAGCTGAGCGGAGGTGCCATCGAATCGAAAATCTTGTATTTCAAGGATGGCCACCATGGATGAGGCTGGAACCACCATCGGCAACAGTAAGATGATGTCCCAGGAAACGAAAATCGGCGTCAAGATAATAACAATCTCCCGCAGCCAAGAGAAGTGTCTGGACCACAGACGCACTCGAGAACAACGTCGAGGCCAGAAATCAACAAGACGGGCAGTCCCACGGCAACCTCAAAGAGCTGCAGTATGGAGACAGTGCCAGTGACTCAAAGAAACAAGAAACATGAAAAACAAGGAACCTTCCTGGCCAGCGCGCTGGCATCAACAAGGGCACAGTCGACCATCTAGTTTCCCCGGGCTTATCTTATATTATATATCGCTCGTACCTGAGGGGCGACACTAGAGTCCTTCCGAGGCCTACGCGGGCACTCTAGTCAACTCCACGAGAGCCACTGCTGCTCGTCGAATTTCGTATAGATGACCAGCCCACTCCTCTTGCTGGAGCGACGGCGGATGCGAGACTTATATTTTATTATATATTATGTTTCTAATATTTTTTTGAGGAGGGAGAGGACCGCGACGCACCACACGTACTCCCGTGCACTCCGTGGCGAAAAACGGCATGGCAGGTATTAGGCTGCGTGCCAGAGCCACCCCAGTCAGGTTCAAAAATGGCAGCAGGGGAAGAGGGGGAGGAAGCGAGGAGAGGGGACGACGGGGAGCGGGAGACCAACATGATACAAAGATGGCCCGACTTCGTATCATAGCGAAGCGCGTGCTTGCCGACAACTGCCTAGAGAAACGAATCACGGCCGCCAGCAGGACCTTTGTCCGGCGAGGGCGGCCGCAACTCGGGGCGGAAATTCGGGCGGTTGCACGCGTGAGCGAGAGCAGGAAAGGAGGAAGAGGAGAAGGCCGACGACGAGGAGGACGAGGAGGGAGCAGGAAAACAATAAAGCTCGCGAGTGCGATGCAAAGCGAATCGTGCGACCAAAGGGCTGACCAGGCCCATGGGAAAGAGGGAGGGAGTGGGAAGGGGAAGAGACTCCTACCAAGAACGCCTACGGACGCGGGCAGCACGCAAAAACGCCTGAGCCGTGGGATGCCCGCGAGCTCCCTCCCGCAGCGAGGCGGGCAGGCCCTCGACAGCATCCCGCCGCTGAAGGGCCCCACTGCGGACCGCGCCGTGCTCCCGGCACAACTCATCCCTAGCGCGGCAAGCCCCGCGGCGTCAGCGCCCTCACCGGACTCCAAGGCCAGGCCGCGCCCCCAGCCGAAGAAGGCGTCGAAGCCCGCGGCCCCGTCGCGCCCGCGCAGCCCGAGGTGCCGCCCGAGGAAGACGTTCCAGCGAATCCGCGGCCAGCGGGCAGCCAAGGACGCAGCAGCCCCGCTGCTGGAAACGCCTGCCCGCGCACCAACCGTTGAAGACGGTGCGCCGGCAAGCGGCGGCAACCCGCGGCGGCGCCAAGCCGGAGACGTGGCCGATGAAGTCGATGAACGTGGCAGCCCTCCTCACCGGGAGGACCTCACTCGTCCAGCGCCCCAGCCGCCCCCGCGCAAAAGCCCGGACATGGCCGAGCCCAGGGCGGAGTGCAGCCGCTAGTGCCCTCTGGAAGTTCTCGCGCCACTCCACGTCATCCTCCTGGAGCCGTTGCCCGCGCAGCTGCCGGATCCCGAGCGCGGCGGCAGCTCGCTGGCCAGCCCTTGCCAGAGTCGCCGCGGCAGAGCGCGACAACCATACGGACACCCCTATGCGCATAGCGTCTGAGGTGCGCACGCGCCCCCCCCAGACTCCGCAGGCGCCCCCAAGCGCGGAGGCCGCCAGAACCCCATGCCTCGTAGCGCGCTGTCCTGGAGGCGGCGGCGGCGCAGGACCGGGGCGAGGCGAACTCGAAGTCGAATCAGGGGTCGCGGAGCTGGCAGCACCTGGGCGCTGGTCCAGCCCCTCGGCCCCAGCGCCAGCCTGAGCAACGCCTTGTCGTCCTCAGCCAGGACCTCGTCAGGCGCGCTCTCAAGCTGGGCGACGAACAGGGGGACGCCGGCGACGTATACTCTGTAGTGTTAAGGCTCACGGGGGCGTCGGGGAGCTCAATGGCAAGGGTTCGGCGGCCTGTCGGTGAACTGGGGTTGGCCTGGCGTGGCCTGGGCGGTATGCTTTGGAAAAATATGGAGCTAACGCCCAACGTATTCGTTTGCGGCGGTTGGGATCCTCGAACCCGCGCGCGGTCGTCGCGCCCTTTTGAGTTGCAAGGCCCCGCCAAGCAAGTTTGGGCCTAAACGACAACCCAATTGGAAAGAGTGAAAACGAGGAGGAGAACGAGGAAGGTTTAAACATTGTGGAGCGGTGGCGGGTGGCAGCGCCAAGAAAGCCGCACGATGCCTCCCAAAAGGGCTCCGAGAAAGACCGCCCCAGCGGGTTGTCCACGACGGCCCCGCGGGCGGGCCGTCCTGGGCAAGCCCTCTCGGGGCCTTCGGGTGGCATTCTTGGGGCCGCGTTGGGGCCATTTTGGAGAGGGCGCAAAGAGGGCCTCATTGGTTGCATGGCGTTTCTTGCAGGGGGCACAGCGCCGTCGCCCGATCGTATAAAAAAGAACGCTTTCGCAACACATTCGGTTGGATTCGCGCCCCAAGCCCCCAGCCCCGCCCCCTGGGAAAGATCGTGCTTCGGGGGCCGTCCTGGAGTCCAGTGGGGCCTCCCTGGAGCGTTGGAACTCTGCGAGCGGGGCTCTCTCGGGGCTTGAAAACTCGTTCTGGCCTTGCGGACTGCGAAGCGTCAGTTTTGAAAACTCGATCTGGCCCCCTTCCCCCCCACACACGCCGCCGCCCTCCCCCCCGTTCCCCCCCCCCCCCCTCAGAAACGGGACCAGGAGGTCCGTCTTCGCAATCGCCGCGGGCTCCAATATGGCCCAAGAAGGCAACTCACTGCTATCAATGGAGAAGGTGTTAGCTTACCTGTTGCCCCCGCGTGCTCTTTAAACATAAGGCGCCCTAAACCAGACATGATTTGTTGTCGGCCTGGTCCAACACACGTGTAAACTTACGCCAGGCGTGCAACAGGCGAAGCCTAACAAGATATGTTCAAACGCTCTCGGTGGGGAGCCATTTGACAAACCAGTGCAGAGAGAGACATCGCCGCCCTTGCCTCTCCACTACCGCATTCGCCAGCAACGTCGGCCACCGCATGCTGATGATGGCGTTGATGATGATGGCGATGGTGCATATGATGACGATGGTGATTGCAATGCTGATGATCATGATGATTGTGAAGATGGTGATGATGAGGGTGATGGTCATGCTGGCGGTGACGAGGATGATGATGCTGAATGTGATGATGGCGTGTGGTGATGATGACGATGGTGGTGACGATGACGAGGGTGATGATGGCGACGATGAAGGTGATGATGATGGTGGTGATGATGCTGATGGCGATGGCATGGTGGTGGTGACGTTGATGATGATGATGATGATGATGATGAAGGTGGTGATGGTGATGGTGATGACGCTGGCGGGGACCCCACGCTATGATGAGGATGGTGTTGATGGTTTGTGCAACTATGCTACGCTCTCATGTCTGGAATGTTTTTCGCCACTGGCCAGCCCTGCCAGCGGCGGCGACCCAAGCTGTGCGCGGGGCCTCGGCGAGAGGCCTCCACAGCGAAGCCATTGAGACCCGGAAACACGCAGCGAAGCGCTGAGCACCAAAGCGCAGCGGCAACCATCCTCACTCGAAGTACGCCTTGATCGGAGTCGCTATTGCACCCCGCGTCTTCGTGCTGCTCATTTTGACGATGGCATTCTCGAAGAACGCCTTGATCTCGGCGTAGCCCTCCTCGCTGAGGACCCCCTTCGCCGGCGCGAAGGCTGGGAATTGAACGGCGACCGACGTGTCAGCAGGCTCATCCCGCTGCGGCGTGGCGAGCAGCAGCGGCACGTAGCCGACTGGGAAGTGCAGCGCGCTGTTCTCGCGCAGCTCAAAGTCGAATAGTTTCGAGGCGCCCTCCTTCGACTGGAATGTCTGACTGAAATCAGCAGCGATGAGAAACTGAATGAGGGACGTCAATGATGGGCAGCCAGCATCTATGATCGTGTCAATGTGGACGCGCCGCACGAAGAACTTGGAGACGTAGCCGACCAACCACGCGCCGACACCAGGGGTCGGGAACGCCAAGCAATCGAATCGCATCGTCATGTGATCCCGTGCAATCACGAACGGGTCCTTGCACAGCTCGGCGCGCGCCTCGAAGGGCTTGAACTGCTTCAAGTCGCCGTCGTCGAACTTCAAAGCCGCGGTGCAATTGAGCTTGACCTGGGCGGAGGAGGTAGGGGAGCCACCAGCGTTCTTGGCGACGACGTTGGAGCCCTTCTCCATGATCCTGTCAGCGCTCTCTTCGAACCGCTCGTGGAACATCTCCTCTACGGGATTGCCGTTCGGCCCCATAGTGAACGTCGTGGGGGTCGAGAGCACGTCGGCCGAGATCTCCGTCGTCGCCGTATCGCTCTACTTGCCGCCCACCTCCTGCGCGAGGATGGGCGGGCGATTGAGCGAGGCCAGCGGAGGAGGAGGAGTCGGCGGGGCTGGGAGAGGGGCGAAGCATGAGAAAAAGTGGAGGTCCTCAGGCAGAACGTCGGGGAGCTCGTCGACGCCCTTGGCCATCCACTTCGCGAGGCTCTTATCCATCCCGTTGCTCACCAGCGCGTCCTGGATCCTCTTGCGGCGGTTGTGGACCGCCCTCCTGGCTTTCAGCTTCACCTCGTCCACTTCCGCCTTCAGGGCCTGCAGCGAATTGCATGCCTCGGTGGATGCATCCTCCTTGTCGCCAAGACCGCGTACGAGCGCGATGACGCTCGTTTGCTTCTCCTCGATCTCTGCCCCCATCTGCCACTCACCGATGCCATCGATAGTGGTCTTGGCCTTCTTGATGTCATTTGCCAAGGCGTCCCGAGTCCCCAGGTACTTGCACGCATTCGCATCAGGGTTGCTCTTCTTGTTATCGTGGAGCTTGTCAGGCTTCGTGCTGTAACCATGGCGAGCGAACGTGGCCGGCTTCATGCGCTTGCCAAGCTCGCCCCTGAAAGCCTTGCGACGCTGCAAGAAAACAGACATAGAGAGCTTGCCCGTCAAATCCGAGCATTCGGTAAGATAGCTGGACTTGCGCCGGCGGGGAGGGGCTGATGACTTGGTGCTGTTCTTCTCATCGTTTGATTCGCCATTCATGGACTCTGCCGCCGCACCATGCCGCCCCATCTTCAAGGTGCTGGCGTCCAACGAGGAAGCATCGGAGCCGTTGGACCTCGGGCCCGTCGGGGCCTCCTCTCTCAGGCGCTGGCGCTTCGCTGGTGGCGGCGGAGACGGCGACGGCGTCGGCTGCGACGCAGCGTCGGCCGCGCCCTGTGGAGGGCTCAAGCGTAAAATCGCGCGGAGGAGGGCCATCGTTCCTCCCCCGCTCTCCTCGCCACTCCAGGCTCTCCCCTCAACCTCCAGCCCCCTCTCCTCGTCCTCCAACCCGCCGCCCGCACTCCCCCCCTTACCCGGCACCCCCCCTCCTCCGCCGATCTGGCCGAGGAGGGTTCGGGGGAAGTGGAGTGGAGCAAGGAGGGCGACGACTTACGCTTCATACAAAGGAGTGCTTATCCACCGCAGCGGCGAGGCCGCGGGCTGGCCGCCCTGCGCCCGCCGCCTTGACGCCGCGCGCGCCGCTGCCCGACGACGACGCCCCGATCCTCAGAACGTCGCCCCCGACACCTGCGAAGATGCCGTCGGTGAAGTTGGCAGCGTCGGCCCCCTCAGCTACCGTCCTCATGAAGTCCGCTGGCGCCCTGTCGACATCGACCTCCTGGCCCTCCGTCTTCTTGCTGACGCCTTTCTTGAAAGTAATATCAAGTGGCTTCGGGACTGCGATCGTAGTCCCCACTTCTGGGTCGGACTCGTTCTCCTTATAGACGTCGGGGTTGGCCAAGTCGGCATCGAACTGAGCATCTGCCTGGGCATCCGTCCAGATTTTCCGCCGACGAATATGGTCGCGAAAATCATACCTATCCATCATGATCACGCCCTGCAATCCTTTAACCCCTTGCTTGGACTGAATGGACTCGATCTCTTTCAGGACGTTGTCTCGAACAGGCTTATCGCGGCTCTTGTCTTTATCTGTGACCATGCTCAGTGCCAGCTCAGAGAACTTCTCCGCATGGGCCTCCCTGCAAGCCTCGAGCATATTCTTCGCGACATCGTTGGGCCTGCCGAGGCGCTGCAAAGCTCGGAGCCCGTTGAAGCACTTGTTGTGGATGCACCTGAACCCGAAGCACGACCGCGAGGACAGCTGGCCCAAGGCAATGGGTGTCAAGCACAGCTCGCACGTCTTCAGGTCGTCGACGGCCTCGGCGCCATCGAGCACAGTCAAGACGCGACTCAGCACCTCCTCGTCCACTGGTTCGCTACTCATGGTACTGCGGCTGAAATCGCGCGGGGTGGTCCCTGACGCAAGCGCGGCTAGCCGCAAAGCAAACGTGCCTTGAGCCCTTGAGCCTGGAGGGGCCGCAAGAGGGGTCCGAATAATAAATGATACCTGGAGCCCGAATGGGAGGGGCCAGCTTGCCATGCCCCCCATCGAGCCGTCCTACTGACTTAAACCTGTTGAAATCTACCTGATTTACTTTTAAAAAGACCCCCTCAAGGGTCATGGCTGCGGTCGCAGAGCCCATGAGGGGTCAAGGGCTATGACCCAATCCAAGACGACCCCCTCAAGCTGTCACGGTCACGGTCGCAGACCCACTTCACAGGTTATGACCCAATCCAGGGGGACCCCCTCAAGGGTCACGGTCACGATCGCAGACCCCCATCAGGGGCCACGGATGTTTTCAAAAAGAGCCACGGCCCTTTCACGTTGCGACGAGGACGGGGCGACGACGGCATAAGACTGGGCACGGCGAGACGGATGGCGTCGACGGGAGAAGGAGGACACCAATGACTTCCCCTCGGCTCTCGCAAGAGAAACTTCCGCCCTTCGCCAGACCTACCCCCGTGAGAGCACCGAACAGGAGCAGGCTGCGCTCGCACGAGCCCCGAACTGCGCGGAGGAAGAGGCTGGCTGGAGCAGAGTAAGGGGCACGAGTGAATAGAGGCCGCGCCTGCTCCGCGCCGCGCCTGCTCCCGGGAAGAATTGCCCCGCGCCGCGCCTGTTCAGTCCGACTCCGAGCTAGCAGTCTCATGTTCGATGAAGGCCTGCATGTTGATATGGTCCTCCGTGGTCATGTTTACTTCCTTGTCGATGGCTTCC